GAGAGAGAGAGAGAGAGAGAGAGAGAGAGAGAGAGAGAGAGAGAGAATCAATTAGGGGAAAATAAAGGGATTGACTAGTGGCAAAGTTTCTACTCCGAAGTTACCAATGATCTCTTAGTTGCCAAGTCCAATGGTCTTTTCTCAATAATCATTCTCTTTTACATCTCTGCAGCCTTTGACACTGTTGATCTGCCCACTCATGTCTCCTTTGCTGGATTCTTCTCCATATCACACTGTCTAACCATAGATGTCCCTCAAGGTTCTGTTCTGGGCCTTCTTCTCCCTATATATTATTGATGATCTCATCAGCTCCCATAGACCTAATTACCATACTGATTACTATACTGATGATTCTCAAATCTATCTTTCCTGCCCCTATCTCTCTGAGGATTCCCAATCTTGCATCTCCAACTTCCTTTCAAACATCTTGAACTGGATGTCCAATGACATCTTAAACTCAATATGTACAAAATGGAATTCATTATCTTTCCCCCTAAACCCTCCTCCCTCCTAATTTCCCTGTCTCTCACCCTCCATATCAATCCCTGTCAATTTTACCTTTGCAACATCTCTTGAATACACCCCTTCTCTCCTCTAACACTTCCACTATTCTAATGTAGGTCCTCATTTCCTCATGCCTCCATTATGGTAATAGCCTGCTGGTAGGTCTGCCTGTCTCAAGTCTCTCCCCACTCTAATCAATCTTCCATTCTGCCACTAAAGTTATTTTCATAAATCACAGATCTAATTATGTCACCCCACCTCCTTAACTCCAGTGGCTTCCTAGTGCCTCTAGGAGCAAACACAAAATGCTCTGTTTGGCATTCAAAGCCCTTCATAACTTTTGCCACCTTTTTTAGTCTTCTTATACCATACTCCCCAACACTTATTCTTTGATCCAGTGACACTTGCTTCCTGGTGGTTCATAAATTAGACACTCCATCTCTTGATGATGAGCATTCTCTCTGGCTGACCCCCATGCCTGGAATGTTCCCCCTCCTTAACTCTGACTAATGACCTCCCTGGCTTCCTTTAAGTCCAAACCAAAATCCCACCTCCTACTGGAAGTCTTCCTCAACCCCTCTTAATTTCAGTGTCTTCCCCCAGTTTAGCCAGCAAATAGCTTTCTTTGTATATATTTTTTTACATATTGTCTTCCCCATTAGACTTCAGGCTCCTTGAGGGCAGGAACTGTCTTTTTTGCCTCTTTTTATGCTCAGTTCTTAACACTGTGATTGGCATATGGTAGGTGCTTGATAAATGTTTATTGACTGATTATCAGTGTTAGGGCTTGTATTATTATATAAATGTGTAGTTGACCCGGTCAGCACAATTATGTGACTTCTTACAATATAGTTTATTATCTTATGAGTAAGAGTTGTCCATTCATTTCAGTTGTTTCTGACTCTTTGTGACCCCATTCGGATTTTCGTGGCAAAGATACTGGAATGACTTTACAGATGAGGAAACCAAGGCAGGCAAGGTTAAGTGACTTGACCAGGGTCACAAAGCCAGTAATTATCTGAGGTCAAACTTGAACTCAGGAAGATGAGTCTTCCTGGCTCCAGGTGGGGCACTCTATTCACTAAGTCATCTTGCTTCTCTATGAATAAGAGTAGAGGAGAGGAATAGTGAGAGTTGGGATTTGCCAAGGCATAAACAAGGTAGCATCAGGGTGTAAGGGATTTGAGAGTATAAAGTTAAACTCGTTAACTAGTCAAGATTTTGAAGGAAGAAAAGTAAAACCAGAGTAGGAAGAGCACTGAAAGGTGTAAGAACTAGCAGTGAAGATGATTAGGCTTCAGAGGAATGAGCCATAGAAGATGAAATGATAAGAAGCTATTGTCAGAGAGAAAATTTCAGAATTTTTGATCATTAAAGTGGAAGATCAAGGGTACAAATAACTACATGAAAATGAAGTAGAGTCTTGAAGATTAAAATTACTGAGGAATTGGGAAGCCAGAGTGTTTGAGGGAACATCAGTATAAATGTTTCCAGGTGTGTGGGTGGAGACAAAGGCCAGAAGGACGTCACAGCTTGGTCAGAAAGCTAGTAAAATTCAGAGGCAAGATAGATACCCAAGTCTTCCTAGCTCCAAGTCCAGGACCCTATCCACTATCCTATGCTGGTTTTCTTGCCTGTACATAGTCATAAAGAAATTCTTTGGTGACCAGGGGAGAAAAAAAAATGAAAACAGATAAGAAAATTTTGTGAGATTCTAAGGATGGGATATGAAGTGTAAAGGAAAATTGAAGTAGAGCAAAAATATAGGGAAAGGAGTAAACCAGAAGAGAGGAAAGGGGAAAGAGGGTGGAATAATTCAGACACAACTTAAAATGTTAGTAAAATTTTTATTAATTTATATAACTTTCCACCACTCTGCCCGACACCACTTCCAAGTATTCAGTCAAATACTAAAATTTGATATTCAGTACAGCCATCTTAAATTAAGTAATCAAATTCATTTCCATTCCATGAAAAATTTAAAAGATGAATGAATTGTTATCTTTAATTTTAGTTTTCTTTACATTTATTTTTTTTCTGAGACCACTTTTTTTTTACATTATAGAAATCTACCCTTAAGTTGTATTTTCAAAGATAGAAACAAAGACAGAAAAAAATCAAATGCAATTAAAAAAATCTTTATTCTTTTGGCTTGATTGTAATGTGATTTACCGTTCTTTATGGTAATAGCATTTTCCTACATGCAGTTCACCAACACACTACAAGTCTATAGCTTTAATAAAAAGTAATCTACATTGAACTTTTTGCTTGGTTAGGAAACACAAAACGTCCTGATATGACTGAATATACAACCTTGTGGAAACAGGATGTGGATCCCATCTTATCTCTAGAACAGGTCTAGTGCAGCATGAATCAACAAGATTAAGAGTAGTCTGTGGAAACAAACTCTTGGAAAAAAGAGAAATGGTTTCATGACCTAAAGACAATGGACTCAAACTTGTGAATTAGGCAGTGCTAGAAATCACAGTTCATCTTCCCCACCCACCCCCCTTTCCACGACACAATATTACTATTTGGAAGCAAGTGAATTTTGTCCTCATTTTGAGATTTATTTCACATTAAAATGTGTGCAAATATACAGTACTAGTAAAAAAAAAAAAGCAGAAATTGATGACTCATCCTTGTCTTTATTTCTTCTTTTGTGAAGTGCTTCAATTTAAAAAGTGCTATGAACAGAAAGTAACAAAAGTGACCGTGACATGAAGCAGAAGATAGTTGTAATTTCTTATTTTATGTACAAAATGCTGAAAAATAAAATAAAATGAACTTTTTACAGTATTTATATTTTATTAGAAAACTCTAACCATATATATTTTTTTAACAGATTTAAGCAGCTGGCGACATGTCTGCACAGTCTTTCTATATACCGCACAGAATTCACTTAAAATTTAAGAATGCAAAGCAAAAAGCTCTTAAGATTGCTGCAACCTATTGCTTAATGACATGGAGGAATGAGGTCTCGGTTGAACGATTGGTTTCACTTTACCACTGACATATGGCTTCCCATATTAGACTTCTGAACAGTGGAAGGAGTAAGATACAGCAGCATAGGCAAGATAAAACATGCATCAGTGATAGCTCCCGAACTATTAATAATGGTACCAATTACATCATAATACCTGTTGAAAGCTTGCAAACTACACTTACTGTGGTACATATTTGATGCAATAAATACTGTGCTCAGGTCATTATTTTATTTTATTTTTTTAATTTCTTTGCTCAAACATGCACCACTAGGTAAAATTATTATTTACATAGTAGACTTTTGTTTGTTCGCTTGTTAATTTTTGGACACATACTGTGTCAACCTTGCCCAGAGCAGAAGATGGCTAAACAATACTGCAGGAGAAAGCAGAATTAACTTTATAAAGGGCTTTGTGTATGTATGTGTATGTTGATGTCTGGGGGTCAATTTAGTTTCCTCAGAAAGACTACTAGGGTATTTTTGTTTTATGCCAAAGGACACTTACTGAGAACATAAATTCGTGCTGCCGGGACTCTGAGTGACAATCTGAACCAACTTTAATATATATTTATATCTAAATATAAATATATACACACATATAATGGATTGTGTAAAAATAAAACAACTCTTTAATTCTTGTGGATTCTACAGGACTTTTACAGGCACATTAAGATTTGTCTGGATGAGACACCTTAAACATAAATCGCTATTTAAGCACCTCAAAATTTAGAAACATCCTGAAACATGAAGTAGTTAAGCTGTTTCTTTTTGTGATGTAATGTTTTCTCGTGCATGAGTTAGCAGTGCGACATGCCTTCATGCAAATCACTTCTGTCTGTACAATAGAGAATTGTAGTCTGCCCTCCCTTGAACCCATTATCCCCCCAACACAAAACCCATTTACAAAAATAGTCACATATAATAGTAAACAACCTGTGAATTAAAAAAAAGATAAATTCACCAACACAGATTTTGTAAAAATATGGCAGATGTGGCAGTTGAAACATAAGCAGTGGATACAATTACCGTAGTCAAGTGTCATGTGTTAAACATACATAAACTTTTCACTTTTCACTCCTTTGACTCGTCCCTACAGTCTGCATAGCCATTCTTGTCTCTTCTCTTCAGCAGTGTCAGCTGGTAGTGAGAACAGAAACCCCTTGTCAAGCTTGTTACTCTGGTTTCCAGAGTCACAGCAGATTAACGAGGGGTCACTGTCGTGTGAGAGGCACTGACCTTTAAGGATGTATTTGTAAAAACAGTCAGTTTGGCATAAACCTCCTTGAAGGAGTCCTGTTGACACAAATACGTCACCTTCACAGGCTGTAAACAAATGGTCACAAAGGGGAATATTCTTTGTTTTATTTTCTTTCTTTTCTTTTTTCCTTTTCTTTCTTTCTTTCTCTTTCTTTCTTTTTTAAAATTACTTTTTGCCTTCCCTGACATCTTTCCCTTTGTCTTCCTTTTCTGTTTTGTCTTTTTCATATTTTTCTTTTTCAGGTTTTGTTACACTATCATATGAAGGTGGAGAGGTGGTGGAAGGGGTCACATCAGTTTTCTCTGGTGTTGAATTCTCATTCAGTTTATCAATAATCATATCTTCTTTGATAGGGAGTCCATTGCCTTCCTTACTTTTGTCTTTTTTATATATACATGAAACTTTTTTAACTTTTTGCCTCAAGAGATGACGTCGATAAGCCCGTTGGATGATGACTGCAGACACTTCCTCTTGTTTGCGTTTCAGAGTTGTGGTGATTGGCTCATAGGAGACTTTGGAAGGATTAGATGCCATGAACCGCTCTTCCATCTGTATTCTGAGAGCATCCATTTCTCCACTCTCACCCAAAACACGCTTTGTGAAAGCAAATAAGATGTCAAGGCAGTGAATTCGGTCCCCACTTACCATGGGCAGATCCATGGCTATGAGCTGGACTTTGTTTGGTTTTGCTATAAGAAGAGGTGGATCCAGTGCAGCCGCAAAATCAGAGAGTTTACAGAATTCTATGAACTGAGTGGCGTCAGGATCAAACTTCTCCCAAACCTCATAGAACATCTCAAAGTCATCCTCACTTAGTGGCTCTGCACTCTCTTCAGTAGCAACACTGAAGTTCTCCAGGATAACAGCGATGTACATGTTTACAACCACCAGGAATGAGATGATGATGTAACTGACAAAAAAGAAAATCCCAACAGATGGGTTGCCGCAATCTCCTTTGACTGAGCTTCCAGGGTGATCTTTTTCAGGGTCACAGTCTGGTGGTCCACTGTTAAGAATGGGTGCAAGCAAACCATCCCAACCAGCAGATGTGGTAATTTGGAAGAGGCAGATCATGCTGTTGCCAAAGGTCTCAAAGTTGAACATGTCATCGATTCCAACTTCCCTCTTGACATAGGCAAAGTTGGACATTCCAAAGATAGCATAGATGAACATGACCAGGAAGAGCAGGAGTCCAATGTTAAACAGAGCAGGGAGGGACATCATCAAAGCAAAGAGCAGTGTGCGAATCCCCTTTGCCCCTTTGATGAGACGAAGGATTCGTCCAATTCTGGCAAGACGGATCACTCGAAACAGGGTGGGGGACACGAAATATTTTTCTATTAGCTCTGCTAGAAACATGCCTATGAGAACAAACACACACACAAAAAAGGATAAAACATATTCAGCAGGAAACTATGATAAATTACACATTCCAATGACAAGGGCTAGTTTGACAATATTCTGATTTTTAATACACAAATGACCTTAAATTATTATTATTATTTTAATTCAGAAAAATTCAGGTCAAGAAATTCAGCTTATAGTTCTTAGAAGGATCCCAACAACACTTTGACTTAAGTTATCAGTGGAGATATTTTCAATTTCAAGAGAAATAAGATGCAACAAAGAGGTGTGAAAGCCAATGAAAGGCCTGAGAATGATAGCAATATAGGAAATTTCTCCTTCAGAAATCTAATAATGGCACCCATGTTCAAAAACAAAAAATGTATTATCATTTATAGAAGTCTCTCTCTCTCTGTAATATGTATATATGAATCTATATATAAATATTATATAGACACAAATATATTTAGGCATAAAGACACATATGGGCATGTATATGTATATATCCTTATAAGTAATTCATATGTCTGTATACACACAATACATACAAAAAATATACATGCAGAATGTATGTATATATGTATATACATGTATACACATACATATATACATATATGTATATATACATATATAGTATCAATTATGCCATCTAAACATAGGGACTAGATCTGTGATTTCATAGAAATAAGATACTCTCAGGTAAGGACATTTCCTTTATTAAAGCAAATCAATTCTTTCCCTACAACTTACAGTCTTAAAAAATTGTCAAAAGCCCTGAGAAGTTAAGTGACTTGGTCAGGATCATGCACAGTTAGTATTTTTCAGAGGTAGTAGTTGACCCTAGTTCTTCTTGGCTTTTAGGCCAGCTTTCTATCTACCATATTACGCTGCCTCTCTGCCTACAAATGCATGTGCATATCTACACATGTTATGTTCCTTTGTTTGTGGGAGAAAAAGAAACACTTATTTTATAAATTTTTTAAAAAATGTTTGTCACCAGTGAAATTAAATTCTATTTCAATGGTAATTATCTATCTACTTATACGTTCTATTTCCTCAGCTAAATTATCACTCTCTTCTTCGGTACTGTCTTACATGGCTGGTTTCTAGACGAGCCCCTGTTTTTTGCTGGAGCACAAATCCTTCATTGAAGCAGAGTGTGGAGGTGGATTGACTTCAGACTTTAAGGTTCAGAGTACAAGATGGAGCCCTGTGAGAAGGACTAGCTACTCTCTAGATAGGTAAAGGATTACTGAAGACTAGTAACATAAATGACCTTCAGCAAATTTTGTTACTAAAAACGAATGAATACTGACATGAATGAATGAATGAATACTCAATAATGATAAACTGTTCAGGAAACACAAGAGCATCAATTTTTGTTTTTGATGCATTTATATTTCTTTTGAGTCAAGGAATGGTGAATCTGAGTGAAATGGAATGAAAAATTTGCTCTGTGTTTTTGAAGACAGAGTCTAGTTCTGAAATTGAAAATGTTAAGTAGAAATTACTTTTAAAAACACCCACAGTATTTTACAAAAACAAAAAATGGCTGGACCAAAAGTGGGGGGTGGTGGGGTGGGAGGAGAATGAGAAAGAGAGAAGCCTCTAACTGTTCCACTATTCTAGCTACCCAAAGAACATCATATTTTTCTGGATTCTCTGATTCTGAGTAATGCATCTTTGTGTCAGTTCTTTGTTCAAAACAATACCTGTATCTACCAGATCATTTCCAAATACTGCATTGTTTTGTACTACATGTTAGAGTACTATGCCAAAGCTACATTTATCAGCTTCTGGCATGAACAAAGATGATAAATGAATCCTGATGAAAACAAATGCTTTCTTTACACTTCATTTCAGGCATAGCATGCAACCACAAAGATGACAAGCTGAAGAATGGATTATTAGACTTTTGTTTGAAAGGTCTGGATGAGTGAAAAAGATGAATGCAAAGCTATGTCAAAGTTTTCAAAAACAAGTTTTGACTTTTTACTAACTTCTTATTTTAGTTTTTTTTTGTTTGTTTTCTAGGCAATTGGGGTTAAGTGACTTGCCCAGGGTCACACAGCTAGTAAGTGTCAGGTGTTTGGTCTGAGGCTGGATTTGAACTCAGGTCCTCCTGACTTCAAGGCCAGTGCTTTATCCACTGAGCCACCTAGCTGCCCTCAACTTTCTTATTTTAGGAAAAATAACCTGTCCTTACCAACAATGGAGAGAATTACCACCACAAAATCAAAAATGTTCCATCCTATAGTGAAATAATAGTAGCGAAGAGAGATCAGCTTCAGCACACATTCTCCAGTGAAGAGGACAATGAACACCAGGTTAATCCAATACAGAATATTAGTCATTTCTTGACTCTGGTCATCAGTCTCCACCATCATGGTGACCATGTTGAGGCAGATGAGAATCATGATGCTGATATCAAAGACTTGTCTGGTTACAAAGTCAAAGACCATTCCCTGGAATTTATTCTGAAACAAAAGAAAAGACTTCTTTTAGAAACAAATAGGAATTTTCTTATTACATTTATTTTAGCAGAATTTATTATGAAAAAAAGAAAAAAAACATTAAAAATCAGACCAAATAGGTATCAATGTGTTTATATCTTTTGTGTGTCAGTATATTCATATCTTTTTCAAACATTTGTTTATTTCATGTAGATGACTTTTATGTAAGATTAAATGCTCTTAGTATATACATTAAGGATCTCATTTTAGTATTCAGTGAACCTCTCCTAATAAGAACATAAACGCATGAGATCAGAGACTATCTCAGTAGTTATTCCAACCACAGTGCCCAGCATAGTTACTGAACCATGGAAGGTACTCAACAAATGCTTGTTGATTGATTACATGAATTACAGTCTAAGACTATCTAATCCAACTCTTTCATTTTACAGACGGGGAAGCTCAGGCCTAATGAGGTTAAGTGACTTGTCTGTGGTCATGTAAGTAGTAAGAATCAGAAGTCAGATTTTGAACCAAGGTCCTCTAACTCTGGTTTTGGCCTCTCTACCATGCCACCTCTAATGCACCAAACAGAGGAGGCACTCAATAAATAATTAGTATTAAAGCAGAGCTTTATTATCTAAAATACCAGTAGAGTGGGGAGTGTCAGCCAAGAATGATGAAGGGTAGATTTGTGTTGCCCTAGGTGGTCTCATTTATTGCCTTTTTTTTTTTTTTAGTTCTTTCCACTCATAAATGAATGAAAGTAAAGTGACCTACATAAATAAATTGATGATGTATATAAAAAAGTTCTGAAAAACAGAGACCTAACCTTTTCTTCCAGGATGAATGATGGAAAATAGAAAAGGAATCCTCCCTACATTCCTGCCTTAACTGAAGACACCTGGCCTCTTCAGCAGCAGCATGGATTTCTTTACCTTCTTGTCATTTTAATTAAACCTGCTCTACTCCAATCACCAACGTAGCATCATCGATCTCTTTCTCCAACAAAACTGCCTAGCAATAGCTAATGCTAGAGGAAATTAAAGGGCATACAGACTTGGCCCACTATAGATTGCTGGTCTCTCATTTCCACATTGCCCTTGACAATTCTTTCTCATTCTCTCTCTTTTTTCTTTTAAATTTCTAAATGGAATTTTATTTTTTCTACTTACATGTAAAGGTGGTTTTTAAGCACTCATTTTTTAAAAGAAGATGTTGAATTCCAAGTTTTTCTCCTTCCCTCCCTCCCCTGCCTCTTCCCCAAGACAGTAAGCAATCTGATAGAGGTTATACAGGTGCAATCATCTCCCAGCGTCTTGTTTACCCCAGGGCAATTACAAATTACTCTCACTCTCTGCGAATGACTTCATGTCTTGATGAAGAACAATGTCTACTTGGGTGAGTTCCTTCCTTTGGGCTCTTTACTTGGGGATAAATACGTCACTCCCCCACCTCCCACACCCATTTCTTTTCTTTTGCTTTGGGTTCAGAGGAAGAGGGGTTCCTTTTTCTAAATTTGACCCCTGAAGAGGCATTCTGGATCATACCTTTTTCAGGTGCTGAAGAGCTCTGCTCTATACTTATCTCCTCTCTCTCTACTTCTCCATTGGTTCATGCCCTTAGGCCTGAATATTCTCTCCTCTATCTCAAAAAGAAAAACAAACAAGAGAAACCAGGTACTTTTCCCTATGGCCCCTTCTAGTTACATTTCCTTTTCATGGTCAAAAGTTTCCTTTTGGGTGGTTTATAGGCTTTCCTACTGAAAACTCTTACCTCCCTGGATTTTTGTGAAAAGGCTCTGTGATGGCATTCTTCCTCTCCACGGAGCTGTTTCTTCTCTGTTTCCTTTGCAAGTTCATCATCCATGACCCACCTGCCCTGTGCCCTCTCCTCTCTCTATATACTCTCTATCTGGTGAGTATCTGATGATATCATCTCATCAGCTTCCAGGCATTAGATTATACATATAATATCCTGAGCTATGCACATAACCCTCATTTCTATCTCTCTCTCAACCCCCAGGTTCTGTATCTCCAATCGACAGCGTGACAACTCTATCCAGATTGCCCCACAGGCATCTGCAACTAAACAGAATTAAACCAGAACTAACTCGTAAGTTTTCCCATAACTCCATCTCTCCTAATTTCCCAATTTTTGTCAAGGATATCACATTTTTTCCAATCATCCGGGTTCATAATTTCGAATCACCTGTATTCTTCACTGTCTCTCACAGTCCACACTAATTAGTTGTCAAGTCTTACCAGTTTGATCTCCTCAACAACTCTCTGCCTATCCCCTTCTCTCTACTCATATCACTACTATTCTAATCTAGGTCCTTAACACCTTTCACTTGGACTACTGCAATATCTTCACAATTGGTTTCCCTGCATTCAGTCTTTGCTCTGTCTTCCACATAGCTACCAAATTGATATTCCTAAAGCACAGGTCTGACCAGGTCACTCCCCTGCTCAGGAAGATTCACTGGCTCCCCACTGCCCTTGAGATAAAACATAAATCCCTTTGACATTTAAAGCCCTTCTTCACACTATAGCTCCAGCTCTTATTTGCAGGCTGATTTCACATTACTCATGACTCTCATTCACACAGACTCTCCACTTCAGCCAGATTGTCCTACTTACATTTCCCACACATGACATCTATTCCGTGCCTTCCTTAGGCTGTTCCCTTTGGTTAAATGCACTCCCTCCTAACCATTGACTCTTGTTAGCCCTAAATCTCAGCACAGTTCTGCTAAAGTGCCATTTTATTCAAAAGGCCTTTACTGAGTTGCCTCCTTGCTAGGTTCAGTCCCACTGTCCCTGTGGCTGATTTCTCTCACTGATGAGTTCCTCCCAGAACCACCATTTTGAGGAGGAATCCAGGCCAACCATCCTTCATTCCTCTTCTGTCTCTATTTCTGACTTTCTGGACACTGCTACTCTCCCTACCTGCCATGTACATAGATTTTTCACTTTTATATGTTGTCTTTTCTTACTGGAATGTAAGCTCTTTGAAGCCAGGGACTGCCTTTTGCTTTTGGCAAAAAAAAAGCAAATGTATATTTTTGGTGTTTAGCACAATGCTTAGCATAAAGTAAACAAATGCTTGTTGACTTGTCTTTGACTTACTTTTAAAACATTATTGTATATTTCTTTCTGGATATCCTACAAGTACTTACCTGTGAAACTGCTGAATCCTGCTATCATAATATAAGCTTCATGGGAGCAGGGAGTATCTCACTTTCTACTTATATCCTACCTTCCTCCACTTCACACAGTATAGTGGCTGAATAAATGCCTGTCATTTAACTAATTGATTGCTTCCATTTCCTAACCACTCAGTATCATAGTCCTCAACCCCTTCTAATTTGTTCTGTGGCCTCACCTCTGCTGAAACTGCTCAAAAGTGACCAATGATTTCTTTCTATAGGAATACAGCATCTTTTCTCATTCCTCATCATTCTTTACTTCTCCATGGCATTTGACAGTTCAAATCAATTCACTTCATGTCAATTCAATAAACATTAATTATATAATTTGTATAAGGCACAGTGTTAGGTGCAGGGATACTAAAATAATTTAGGACCTGGAGTCCTAGTAAGTTCTCATTCATTTAACTTTAATTTCTTTATGCTAATAATTCTTAAAGCTACATACTGAGTAATTATCATTCCCTTAACTCCAGTCCTTTTTCCCCCCAACTTTCTCCTGTACACAGAAATCTGGATGTTGTGCCATGATTGGAAATTAAAGGTGTCCAAAATTTAGTGTATAATTTTCTTTCCCAAATAAGCTTTTCTTTCCTATTTCTGTCAGATGACCATTTTAGTCACCTCAAAGTCATTTTTAATAAATTCTGCTTCTTTTTCGATATCTAGTCAATCAGGGCAGGTTTTTTTCCTCTTTATGTGTAATTCTTCTGTTCTATTGGAACCCTACTCTAGGATTGTGATTGCTGAATAGCTTTGTAACTGGTCTTGCCTTAGAAATTAATCCTTACATCTTCTGCCAGATTCATCTTTCAAAAAGACCTGTTTCAAGATCCTACTCAAAAAAATCTATAGTAGCTCTCTAATACCTATCACACCAAGTTGAAATTCCCATGCTTATATTAAAATCCAGGCCCACCTTACAGCCTACTACTCTCCATTACAAATCCTTCATTCTAGCCAGGCCCTTGTCATTGCCTTTCCAGCCATAACATGTTAGTTTATATTTTTACCCCAATATGTAATACTTTCTCCTGCCCTCTTCACTTATATAAACCTTACTCACCTTTCTAGAGTCAATTCAAATCCCCCCTGTCCAGACTTAAAATTATAGGATCTCTACTTTTCTAAACTCCTGAAGGATATGCACCATAGCATTTAACATGACTACATCTAATCTCATTATCTCCAATTGCTTCATTCTCTCAGGGATCTCAGGGGGCCACTAGAACTCCTTTTGTAATTGGCATATTCTTGGATGTTGAAAGAGTGTGAAGACAGCAGAACACAAAGGGCATAATAGTGGAGACATCACCTTTGCCAGGTAGGCAGGACAATTAAGTTTAAATTAAATTAAGTTTCTGCCCCTTACCCAATGTGCACTCATGGAAGGTATTCCCAGAAAGCCCATGGGGCTTCAGCACTTGGCAGCCAGACCTGATCCTTTATGGATGAGGCAAGAGCCTAGAGGTGTCTCTATGAATCAACAATCAGATCGGGCAACTAGACAAGCCATCCTGGCAGCAGCCAGAAGAGGAAGTAATTTTACTGGTACAAATTTGTTGGACTGAACACAACATTTCTGTATATTTTAGATCCTCCTACTTCCCCTAAAGCTTCACGGTGCAACATCTAGTTCTTTTACATGTGGATAAAGTTGTTTTTCCTCAGAGGTGAGAATTTTGAGGGCAGACACCAAGCCTAGCATACCTTCAATAAATAATGCTGCAGGTACATAGTAGTCACTCCAGAAATGCTTGTTGATTAGTCTAGCTTCCTTCTGACACAAAAGAGTAAAAGTGTGCAGACTATTAGAAATAATGATATCTACAGCTTTCTGATGGCTAAAATGTTGTGTAACGCAGCTATTACCCTGCTATGAAAACTGTTATTCTTACCGCAGGTCTAGGTATAGGTTTTTGTGGTTTCTTGGAACCTAGTTTTTTCATGGCATTGTAGTATTTCTTCTGTTCTTCTGTCATAAAGATATCTTGACCTCCAAAGTAAAGAAGTGAAAGTAAAACTGGTTACAACCATGTATCTCCATTAGCTACAGTGTCTGGCAAAGCTCATTAATGTTGAAGAACTTGGCTCTTTTCAAAAATTCTTAGAGATGATATCTTTTCTATTTTGTACCCCTGCATTTATATATACACAGCTTCACTCAATACACTGAATTATATAGCCCTGGTTGTCAGGCATATTATATGATAAAACGCAACATTAAGTGATCTGATGTCTGAATTTATCATGACTTATAAAAATTTTCTTTCTTGAATTTGATTGTTATTTCCCTAGGTCACACTATTTTGCAACCCAAAGGAGAAAGTATTATACATTTAGGTTAATTTGGGAAACAGTGATGGACCTTCATGATACTTATCTTCTTTTTCTGTTGATTGAAGTTATCTATGATGACACCAATGAAGAGGTTCAGAGTGAAGAATGATCCAAAAATTATAAAGATGACAAAATAAAGATACATGTATAGATTGTCTTCATACTTTGGTTGCCACTCTACCTATAAGACATGGAGAATGATGACTGTCAGGAAGAAGGATTTCACAGAAACAACATCATAGAGTTCTTACTTTCTAAGATGTGTCTAAATTTCTGAAAATAAAAAAGAACCAAGCACCAAACAGATTTTGATATCTTAGGTAATGACTACTAAAATCAGTTTTACAGAACCTGACTTGAGAAAATATAGAATTTCATGGAAAAAGGCTAAGTGACTGCATATAATTCCATTTCAGAAAAACAGCTGTATTGTAGTAACAAATAAGCTGTCCTTCATATATAGAGATGGCAGAAGGACATGTGCTTGGGTGCTGGATTTCTAGTTATATTTATCCATCTCAGGGCAAAGCCCTTATGATCAATGGTGCTCCCCTAAATGGTCCCTGTTGTAACCAGGCAGATTAGCTGAGTAGTGCTTAAGGTATAACCTGTGGTTAAAGTCAGGTTCAAATCCTACCAGCTATGTGACTGACCCTGGAGGAGTCATTCAAGTTCTCTTGTCTCATCCATAAGATGAGGGGGTGGGATGTGATGATGTCTAAGTTCCCTTCCACACCTATGATACTAAAAGTAAGTGGTCCACCTTTGACTTATCTCATTAACATAGTGTTCTAACTCAACTGTGTTAATTAGTCACATTCAACTAGGAAAGAAAAACTAAGTCTATTATAGATCAGTCATGATTTTGACTTGCTTATTATGGTGAAGCTGATAGCTACCTTCATTTTTATTTTATCTTTGTTTTTTGCAAGGCAATTAGGGTTAAGTGACTTAACCAAGGTCACACAACTAGTAAGTGTCAAGTCTTTGGACTGAGGCTAGATTTGGACTCAGGTCCTCCTGACTTTAGGGCTGGTGCTCTATCCACTGCATCACCTGGCTGCCTTGAAATATGTTATCTTTAAAAGAAGTAAGACCTGTAGTAGAGAAGCAAGTTTTATCTAATGCTGCATACATGTTATGTCAGAGAGGCCAGTGATAGTAATCAAAGTGTACTTATGTTTATGTAAAAAAGAAAAGTATAATTCAAAAGGAAAGCACTAACATTTTCTTTCTGTTAATCACATGAATAGCAAGCTTGATTGTGAATCCAAATATTCTTAAAGAGAATTAAACACAGTCTTTTGAAAGTTGTCCTTGCAAATTCAAATAGCAAATATCACAATCACCACCATACACTAATCAACTGAGGGAAGCGAGGGAAATTGGGTTGAAGTTTAAAGTGTATATCACACACACACACACACACACACACACGCACACACACACACATGAATATAGTAGTTGCTCTAAAGCTTTGTTGTCTCAAATTGATCTTAGGAAATGTAACAATTACTCCAAAAGTATAGGGATTAAAAAAAACTTTGTTTTAAGAAATTTCCTAACAGAAGAATTACAGAAGTATATTATCTAGAGACTGATGCTTTTCTTTAAGGACCTTCATATTAGCTAAAAGGAGAGTCCAACTATTAATTCTTCTACATAAAAAGGTTGAAGAATCAAGAAAAATAAATTCAAATCTGGCCCCACTATTACATATGAGACCTTGGGCAAAATACTTATGCAAATTGGATGAAAAAAAAGAAATGAACTTAAGTCAATTGAATGTGAAAAAATCAATTATTTGATTGATTAGCAATCAGTTAATCAAAGTGATTTTTAAAAATTGTTGTAGCTATGATCACAGCCCAATAGGGAAAGAGGAAAACAGGGTGTTAACTACCTAAAAGATATAGATCAGGATATGATGGAAAGGAGTCAAGATCAAGAAAATGGTAGGAAAATTGGATAGGTAGAGCAGTAGTAACAATAGGTGGTACCCCAAGCTGAAAACAAGTCAAAAGCAGAATTATGTATGATCAAGGTTCCAGCTTCAAGGGTTTGGTTCTTAGCAAGAATCAAAAGTTCGAGTTGGACAAAAGTCCATCAGTGTGATGGATTGTTGGCTTCATGGTACCTCACACAAGTTTTAAGAGTGACTGTATGAGGCTGGCTCATGTCCTTCGTTTTCATCCAAATGCACTTCAAGTGGCAAATCACCATAGCTATCCGCATTAACTTCCATACAATTAAAAAAGCCAGACACACAGAATTAGCTTCTCAATTTCCTCATCTTTTAAAATGCTGATAAATACATTACACAAGATACATCTTTTTTGAAGTAGCAATTGAGAGAGAGAGAGAGAGAGAGAGAGAGAGAGAGAGAGAAGGTTCATAAGCAGAAAAAAGGAACTATAATTTTTTTGTAACATTAGATGAGAACAGAATGAGGTAAGAGAGGGTATTTGATAAAAATATTTTTTAAATTCAGATGCTTTTCTTGGTTAATACTATATTATTTTTACTTACATGGTAGGGTTATAAATGCAATATTTAGATTAGTAGGAATATATTTAAACTAAATAATAGTAGTAAAATTATGCCTTATATGAAGTATAATGAATATTTTATTTTTTATGGTTTTTTATGAAATCCTAATCAGACATTTTAAGTAAAGAAAATTCTGACACAGGAAAGAATACATGTGAAAATTCTTTAAGCTTAAGAAAAACACCATATGAATTAAAAGTATAATATATTTTACTACTATGAAAATTATAGTAGCTAGCATTTATACATACTATCTCATTTGAGATAACCCTAGGAGGTGGGTACTATTCCTATTTTATAGATTAGGAAATTGAGTTTGAGAAAGGTTAAGTGACTTGCCCAGAGTCATACAGCTAGTCAATGTCTAAGGCAGGATTCAGATTCAGGTGTTCCTGACTCCAAAGCCAGTATTTTATCCACTGTACCACCTAGATGTTTTTGACTATTTCAAAAAGCATTTCATACATTATTATCTTTCAAAATAAATTTATGCTGTAAATTTGCCTCCATTTTCTCCCATCTACAGTGCCATTCAATTGAAATATAGTGGCATTATATAAATAGCCAAATTAAACAATACCTCCAAATATACTTACATTTCGTGAATCAACAGCTGCATACATGATATCCATCCATCCTTTAAATGTAGCCTGGGGTGGAGGGAGCAAGATATGTTACTTAATTTCACTCTAAAATGTTTATATTAGAAAAATTAACTAAGCTATTCTATCGTGAGATCTTATTAAGATCATCAATATGCATTCAATTATCAGTATAATAAATATATCAAGATTTACCCTTACAGGTATTCTTTCCCTTCTTTAATTTAATCACAATAATATGACCTACAACTAAAATATGTGATCATATAAGCAATTATCTCTAACTTTTCACTTTTGCCAATTTCTGCAATAATTGTAGGTATATTGGTTATGCATGCACATGAACATATACATTTTTGTATATGTTCACGCACATGCATAACCAACATACAATTAGAGCATAAGCAACATATAATTAAAGAGCATAATAGATAAGGCAGGAGGTAAATTGGTATTGGATTGGCTGTGACTTGCTAACAGCCAAGGCAGCATTGGTCTCCTTTAATATGGTGGGGTACATCATTTTGAAGCAAACATCCTAAATTGAGAACCAGTTCCCTCAATAAAAATCTAATATTGCATTGCACAACATTTCCTGAAGGCTCTGGATTTCTTTCCAGGGTCCTATCATATATAAAATTTATATAGTAACTATTTGACTCACTGTTAATCACACTATATAGGTCACAAAGATCACAAAATGCCAGGGTTACTTACCACTTGTAACAAAGAAAGATATCCAAGCCCCACATTATCAAAGTTTACTTTCACATTTTTCCATCGGGCAGTTTGATTACTGTCTATAAGGGCTTGGCATTCACTCAAATTGTTGACAACACTTATGTCAAACATCTCTCCAGTGGTGGTGTTAATACAATGGTAAAACTTTCCAGCAAAAAGATTTACTCCCATGATGCTGAATATTAGCCAAAATATTAGACAAACCAGAAGTACATTCATGATAGAGGGGATTGCGCCCAAAAGGGCATTCACAACCACCTGGTAGAAAGAAAGAAAAAGTTACATCACTATCAAGGACTTCTTTTACTGAGTGTTTTAAGAAGCTTTTGTGAATTGGGTGGTAGCAGTGAAATGATAGTGAATACATTTCTCTTATCAGGGAATGCTAAAAGTTAAATGCTAAAAATAAATGTTGAAGATAATAGTTTAAAAAATTACACAACCATCTCACTCAGAGAATGTCAAATAAGTAGGAAACTAGCACTTGTAAGATACATCTTTAGTCTTTGAGTACGTTAGGGAACACAAGCAATAAAGGTCAAAACATTTTTTTAAGTCACTGAAGAATGGAACAAATCTCAAATGCAAAAAACGGTGGAGAGTATGTAGATTTGTCTGATATTTAAAAAAGAACACTGAGTACAGCAGATGTATTGTAAAAATTTTCATTATCTGAATCTCATATCTAATAGTAAGAGGAGTTACATTGCCAGACGGCACAGTGGATAGAACACTGATCAGGGAGTCAGGAAGACTTCAAATTTGGCCTCAGACATTTACTAGCGGTGTGAACCTGGACAAGTCACTTAACCCTGTTTGCCTTATTTTCCTTATTTGTAAAATGAGCTAGAGAAGGAAATGGCAAACCACTCTAGTATCTTTGCCAAGAAAATCCCAAAAGGAGTCACAAAGAGTGGGGTATGACTGAAATGACTGAACAATAACAACACTGCTACTAGGGGTAATCATATTTGGACATATGATAACGAAAAGAGTGCTGGACCCACAGATAAGGAAACTAAGGTAAACAGGGTTAAGTGACTTGCCCAGGGTCACAGCTAGCTATGTAAGGAAAATCACTTTGGTAGCTAGGTAGGGGAAGAACTGGACTGGGGAGAAACTTCAGGTAGGAAAACCAATTAGGAGGCTATTGCAATAGTAAAGGTGAGAGGTGATAAAGGTCTGAATTAAGGTGGTGGGCTACGTGTGTAGAAAGAAAGGGCTTGGATACTGAAGGCGGTGATGTAGAAATGGTAAGATTTGGCAAGTGATCTTATGTGGGAGGTAAGGAAGGGTGAGGAGGTAAGGATAATTCTGAGGTTATTCACCTGACAGCCTGGAAGAATGGTGGTACCGTTAACAAAAACAGGAAAGTAGAATTATCTATGAAAATCAACCTAGATGGAAAGTTGTATTCTATCTCTAATAATCTTTTGGCCTTAGGGAAAACATTAGGAATAAAGTTCAAGAGTTTCCTCTATTGACTTCATTGTATATTCAATTGAAGCTTCTATGTCACTACTATTAGTGTTTTTTCAAGGTGTGTTAAGTGAATATTCCCTTTAGATATTTATTTTTGTTGTTGTTCAGTCATTTTCAGTTGTGTCTGATTCTCTGTGACCTTATTTGGGGTTTTCTTGGCAAAGATACTGGAATGGTTTGCTATTTCCTTCTTCAGCTTATTTTACAGATGAGGAAACTAAGACAAACAGGGTTAAATGACTTGCTCATCGTCACACAGCCAGTAAATGTCTGAGGCCAGATTTGAACTCAAGGAGATGAGTTTTCCTGACTTCAGGCCTGGCATTCTATCCTCTGCACCACCCAGCTGGCCCAGAGAATTATTTTGCTAAATGATTTATTCTGTATAAACAGCACTTAGCACTAGATTATACTAGATTTAGAAGAGTATCTGTATAGTTCACCTTTGCATTGCTAGCACCTGACACAGTGCCCTTGCCCACAGTAGGGCAAATATTTATTGAATTGTTTGTTGAATTGAACTGAATGAATTGTTTGTTGAATTGAATTGAATGTCATTTTGGAAATAGACTTAGGGAAGAAATGTGTGAAAGAATCCATGTAAATATTACCTCTTTGATGCTGAAACCAACCCACTTGCAAATGGGCAGATAAGAAACAAGTGATTTTTAAAAAAGAATTAAAATTGATTTCTTCAAAAACTCTTTCTGTAGTCTTGAAAAATTAAGTTAACAAGTAAAAGACAGACTAGGTAGTAGCTACTAGGGGTAATCAAGTGAAGGAAAGCTGAGTTTGAATCCTGCCTCAGACATTCATTGGTTGGGTCGCCGTGGGCAAGTCAACTATCTGTTCAGGACCTTAATTTCCTCTTCTGTGAAATGGAATAATAATAATACTTCTGCTATACATCTTACAGAACAACATAGTTGTTAAGTTGTTATAAATAACAGAATGTTAGTTTTAGATGTAGGATCTTATGATTGTAGATTTAAAGCTGGAAGGAACCTTAAAGGCCAACTATTCTATCTTTCACTATTGTTTTAAAATTTGTTACGAGCTAAAAATGTTGTGACTCAATTTTAACAGTTCTCACCACTTTTGAACTCAAAAAATACCTTGTTATTATATAACTGTGTTTTTTGGATATAATTAATATATGGGCACATAATGAAAGAACTTATATTTCTGTAGTAGTTTAAGGTTTACAAAGTGCTTTCATCACAACATCCTTGTGAGATAAGTAGTCAAAGTATTTATAATTCCCATTTCAAAGATGAGAAAACTGGGGCTTAGAGAAGATATGTGATTTGTCCATTTATTAAAATCAAAGCTGAGATTTGAGCCTGAGTCTCTTGTGACTCTAAATTCATTGATCTTTACAGTATCACCTTCTGACTTAGCCATCCCTTACAAACAAATGAATTTCTACATATTTAAGTACTACTTCAATTCAACAAACAACGTTCAAAGCATTGCTAAGTACTGGGTTGCCTTCCTCGGCTCTTCATTTGTACGTGGTGTACAATCACAAAGATGGAAATGAAGACATTCAATAAACTCTCATGCCTTGGGATTCAAGTATCCCCTTTAATCAAATATGCTAATTAAAAGAAAACACCTGGATTATTAGTTTCCAAAGAATTAGAATACAATTTAATTAAACACCCTGACCAAAAAACTATATTGAACATCCCTAAGGTATTTGGAAAAATCTTTATCTGATGATTCAAAAGGCTCTCTAGGATCTTATAAGTGCCTCAGGGTCATCATTATAAACATCAGTCATCACTGACGAACAAATAGAAGGAAGTTAACAGTTAATAGTACAGTTGACAGAAGGCTAGATAGCTGAATATATATATATATATACACATACATACATATGCACACATACATATACATACATATATAATGTGCATATGTATGTATATGTGTATATATATGCATGCATATATATAATATATATTATATTATATATTTAATGTGTGTGTGTGTGTGTGTGTGTGTCTCCCAAGGGAGGCTGTTTTGAGACAGAATGAGAAAATAAGGCTATGTGTTCATGTCTGCAGTGGTTACACAGTGAATATAAAAATACTTAAATATGAGATTATTAAGCCTTTTTTTTTTTTGGCAAGGCAATTGGGATTAAGTGACTTGCCCAGAGTCACACAGCCAGTAAATGTTATATTTACTATATACGTTATACATATTTACTATAAATGTTATATCCATCTGAGGCCAGATTTGAACTGAGGTCTTACCTGACTCCAGGGCTGGTGCTCTATCCACTGCACCACCTAGCTGCTCCCTATTAAACCGTTTTCATAAACAATTGTGATTCAGTCACAGCCAACAGAAAATACTCTCTTTCTCAGCTACCACTCCAATTATTCCGCAAAGGCTTTTTCCTTCAGCCCTACACCTAAGTAGGGATTCTTATACTTATCTGCCCTCCCTTTTTCTTATGCCCTCTGGAATTCCTGTTCTGTCCTTAAGAAAGTTCCATTCACCTTAGTCCTCTTCATTTCAATCTTCCCATCTGTGTACATGCATGGAAAACTAGCTTCCTCCAGAAGACACTGAACTCTTTAGCGGCACCCTCTCTCATTCATCCTCAACATACTGTGCCAGGAGAAGAGTATATATACTCCTTGTTCCTCACCACTACTGCCAGTACTTCCTTCTGTCCTCATCACTCATTAAGTTCTCTTCCTTTGAGGTTCACACCAGCTGTATATATAACCCAGACAAGATCCTTATTGAATTCTCCACATATCTTGGGGATCTTTTCTTTCTTAAGGAATCCCACACTTTGCTCACATTTCCCCCTTCTGCTCTATCCCTCCCTTTATACTTGTAGGTTTCAATATATATATGTTGGTGCCTCAAATGCCTTGGCTCCCCAGCTAATTAATCTCAATTCTCATGACCTTTAAGTTTATTCCATCTTAGACATCCACAGAGATAGCTTCATCTCACCCAAGTTCATAAATATGCCAGCACACATAGCAACATAGCATACATATGCTCCAGGATCTTAAATCCTGAAATCCTTCTTTCTGACCATAACTTCCTATCCTTCTTTTTTCCCCTCTTCTTCAGCCCCTCTATTCCTAACTTACTCTTTGTTTTACTTCCACCTTTGGCCATTTCCAAGGTATCACTCCTACTCTGGCTTGACTTTCCTTCCTTGACGGTCTTGACCTAATAGTTATTCAGTTCAACTTTACATTATCCATAATCCTTGCATCCATTGTTCTAATGCTTCTCACTCTTTGCCAAACTCAAGCCACAAGATTTCTCTGTTTTCACTTGGCTGCTGAATGGTGATGAAATATCCAAGTCATACCTGCTAATCATGAAGGTCTCCCAAGGCTCTGTGCTGGGCCCCTTTTCTTTTTACTCTATAGTATTTCACTTGGTGATCTCTTCAGCTCTCATGGGTTCAATTATCAGCTCTATGCAGATGGTTCCTAGATCTATATATTCATTCTTATTCTCTCTGCTGGGCTATGGTCATACATCTCCTAATGCCTCTTGAATATCTCAAATGGTATGTCCTGAATGCGTTTAAAACTCAGTATGTCCCAAATGGAACCAGCGCCTTTCCCCCAAACCCTCTCCTTTTCCTAACTTTCCTGTAGTCACCTGTCATCATCCATAAGCTTGGTGTCATCCTCTATTCTTCACATTCACTCACCCAACATACCTAGGCTGGTGACAACCAGCTCTATCTTATCTGTGCCTCCTTCTCTTCATTCCTATGACCATAAATC